TGTTTATGGTCCAGCGAAGACTTCCTGGTATTAGTCCGCGCGGATGGTTATGTGGCCTTTTTCGCCTGACCGCCGGGATGGTACGTTCTATATGAGTTGCGGGTGTGTTCGGGCCATCGAAGATAGCGATAAACGTATCGCATCGATTTTGATTAAATTTTGGAAACATTAGTTTCTAAGCTTCTTCGAGTACTATGCCGTTACCCTGGGAAAATTCGTTTTTTCCATGCAGCCATGGTTAAAAATGACAAAAAAAATGACCCCTTATTTAACTAGAGTTCCCCGATCTCATACCTTCGCCAAATGATGTTAATCTTTATGACTGACAAATTATACATTAGATTATTCCCCCCTGATTAAATAGGAACCTAATTTTCATGAATTATATCATTTTATCATAATCTCAACCAAAAAACAGTCTTATACTAACAAACAATGCATTCTAGCATTCCTAATAAATTATGCAAATGAGATCCTGATTTGAATAAATTATGTTTAATGATGTTCACCTCAATTTAATTTTCAAATACCACAAGTATGAAATTCCAGGCAGTTATCATTACATAATTATAAAATTTTCTCATTAATTATGCAAATTAAGTCATTATTAACATAATCAATATTTTCATGTGTTTCTTTCGTTGTCAATTACCAATGTCACAAGCTTTAATTGTCCTATCATGGAATACAGCTGATTTATAGAATTTCCCCATAAATTATGCAAATTACATCCATATTTGCATAATTGTCACATAATTATATTAAGCATCACGTAAGCTACCTACATACCAAAAATCACGACGATCCGTCAACCGGTTCTTGAGTTATCCCCTTTTGAATATTTTCAAGAATATATCGCTGCATTTCCAGAGCAAGCCGCTAGGGGGCCTTAACTCACGTCACTTCTTCCCCAGCACAAGAGCTACCTACCATCTAAATTTCATCACCATAGCATGTCTAGATCATGAGATATCAAAACCGGAAGTTCAGCTGCAGTACCATAACAAGACCGCTGGGGGGTCCAAAATCTAATCATTTTGAGGTCTCATCAAGACCTACCCACCTACCAAGTATCAAGACAATCCATCAAGGCCTTCTCAAGTTATCGTGTTTACAGACAGACAGACAGACAGACACACACATACACGAACGCCCCTGAAAACATAACCTTCTTGGCGAAGGTAAAAATGTACTTTGATGTGCCTTATTTACCCCTAAATAAGTTGGGCGCACAAAATATAAATCAAGTGTATTTATAAGTGGCACGGCACCCCTTTCCACCAAAAGAGTGAAAAATTCCGACCCGCGTTTAGTACAGCAATGACAGCCCGTCGGGCTGAGGGTGTCGAATTGCTCCGAACACGGAAGGAAACTCCGGTCCGAGACATTTTGGTAGTTATGTTATATACCATGTAGTTTTCAGCGAATAACCTATCTAGACGGTTTTGGCCAATAAAACCACATTAATGACGTCATTATGACGTTTATGACGTCATAACGACATAAAAATTGTAGATGTGATAAATTTTTACTAGTACACTATCCTCTAAAAATTTGGTAGTGATACAACATAACGTTCACGAGTTCTGAGGGGGGGTCAAATGAGCCCCCCAGAACTTGAAACATTTAGTGTGTACTTGTATTATTAGTATTTTCCATCTGGGTATATTGGACTCAGACTGGGGACAGTTGGGCATCCATTAGTCGGATGCATCAGTTTTTGCAGATCTCTGACTCTCCGTTTTTCTGTTTATTAGTTTAGTCTATCAGGTTTTTTCTTGATGAAATTAAAAAGTTGGGAAATGAGAAAAGTTGAAAAGGTGGGGGGCTGTCCGAACCGACAAGTCCATTTTGGTACATATGTTACCCTGTTTTTGGCATTTCTCTGACTTCCATTTGTCTAGATGGAATGTTGAATTGCTGCACACATCTTCATGATCAGCTCGGGACAGGAACACTGTAAAAAGAAGAAGAGAGCAAAATTGAACCAAAAGTAATACTACATGGATGTAAGTTCGAAGCATGTCTTAACTGCACTGGCATAAATATTTTTGCATGCACAAAACTCTACCCCACCACCATGTATCCTACTACGAAAATTGTAATTGTAAGCCCAGTGAATGGTGGCATTTTTTTTTATTTTGAATCATTTCTTTACTGTCTCGTAAACCATCACGTACCGAGTGGGGAGGGCAACGGATAAACGTATTTGCATGTGAATTCGATATCGAGTGGGGAGGGCGAGGTGTGTGATTACATGTTTCGGCATTGACTTTGTGTCCTAATTTTGTTACCTGTGTACTGTGGTGAAGCCTGTGTGGCGGAATCTGTTTGTTGGAAATTCTGTGTGATGTAGCCTGTGTGGCGGAAACTTTTTGTTGGAAATCCTGTGTGGTCTTCCTGTGTGGAGGATTGTTGGAAACCTATGTGGTGTAGCCTGTGTGGCGGAAACTCAAACTGTGTGTTGAAAAACCTGTGTGGAGCAGCCTGTGTGGCAGAAACTGGGTGGTAATAAACCTGTGTGTTGAGAAACCTGTGTGGCGAAAACTGTGGTGATGTTAAAACCTGTGTGGTGTAGCCTGTGTGGCAGAAACTGGGTGGTGATAATATAACATGGATGTAGGCCTAAAATAAGCCTAATAATATAAGCCTGTGTGTTGAAAAACCTGTGTGGAGCAGCCTGTGTAGTGGAAACTGTGGTGATATTAAAACCTGTGTGGTGTAGCCTGTGTGGCAGAAACTGGGGGGTGATAATATAAGCCTGTGTGTTGAAAAACCTGTGTGGAGCAGCCTGTGTAGTAAAAACTGTGGTGATAAGCCTGTGTGGTGGAATTTGTTGAGGGGATCTTAGTACCTTTGTAATGTAAAGTCGTGCACCTGTGTTTCAATTTCTTTATTGCACTATTTCAAATGTACATCAGCAGGGGGAGCATAACTACTTCCCCTGAATTGGGTACCATTTGTTACATAAAGAAATTGAGAGACAATACATGAACATCTAAATGAGGTATATACAAAGACATATACAAAATAATTAAAATGTACACAATGTGTGTTGAAACGTGTGTGGTGCAAACCTGTGTGGTAACAAAAACAAATTTACATTTGTATTCACCAACGCAAGCGATGCCGATTTTCATGGCTTGATTTTGAACAGCCTCGAAAGTATTTCTTTGTGACTCAGCACACACCACATATACAACATTTGCATATTACAATACCGGCCTTACAAGGGTCGTGTACACAGTGACCAAGTCTTCAGGAGGCATGTCGCTCTAGGCCAGAAGGCGGAGAAAGTGTAGGCGCCTCGATGCCTTCTTAGTTAGTGTGATCTGATAGTCCCATCCAAGGTTGGAATGTACCTGTAAACCCAGGTATGGGGCACAGTCGACCACTGGCACTGGGTCAACATCGATGTCATTTTATTGTATAATATTATAGAATTAGTGCTAATTGTACTGAAAACCTATTACAGGTCAGAGTTACTCCTTAACGATGGGTCGTGCATGTAAGCCACGTGTGGTCTGTCTCATTCTCCTTACTCTGCTGCTTCTCTACCTACTGCCGTGGTTCTGGTCAGGATCTCTGCAGCCTGCTAGTGGCTTCTTCAACTACGAGGTCGATGAAATGTTGGGTCAGGAAAGACAAGGAAAATTCCAAGAGTCCAATCCGGATGTTGTGACTGTAGCAGGGTTGGGAGTGGGCCAGCCTGGACAGAGGAGGCTGTGCCCGCAGGGAAGTTTTCGACTGCCCACGATGGAAACTTGTATGCCATGGCTTGGTTGTAAAGAGATAACAAATAAGGTGACCACTCTGGGCAAAATCGGATCAGGCAGTATTAAGAAGGTAACGGTATTGTTATATTTCTTTCGTTGTTAGACCCTGTTGTAGGCGAGTGTAGACGTAAAATTTCTGTCGGTTAGCTAATTCTAGTAGTAGAGGCGCAGCTAGCATAAACAATCATAATATATGTTACAGGCGATTTCCAGATTACAACATTTTTTCCCTTTTTTTAGATTATAATACTGTGTGAGGTGCCCGATTCAGGAAATCATCTATGATTTGTGTTTTCCTATTTCCATCAGATCTTGAACAATTTTCATATGTGTACTAAATAATGGTACATGCAAGTCAGCAACATGCATGTCTGATAAGTCACACATGTAACATACTTCTCATTTGTAGATCAGTATATCAAGGAAACATAACTGTAGGTTTGTCAACGGGGAAACAGCTGGTATCTTAGATTTAAAAGGTAATAAATGTATAACAGATTACAAAGGTGGGCAACGTCAGACTGAGGACGAAGCATTGCATAAGTAGTGCAATGGGGATTTGTTTATAATCTTTACTACAGCTCAAGTATGTTGTCGTATACCCCTACTCTAAATCTTCTGAATAAAGTGTGTTGGGTCCTTTTATGTATAGAGGTTTGATGTTATAATCTTCCTTGTACACTGTACAAGCGTTATATGTACGTCCACATCCAAAAGGACAATGAAACATCTAATCGTGTCCAAATCGGGTGCAATCTAGGCCACCGGCTCTAAGGATGCAGAGCGTGCAGGTTATTACACACACAGACATGACTTAATGTACATTTTACTATATGCTGTATAGAACTACAACATACATCCTTTCTGCACTTTGTAGGTTTACAAAGCTATCTGGAGAAACCACACAGTGGCCTACAGTAACCTGACGAAGCCGACTTATCGCAACTTCATCTTGCAAGATATAGAGATGCTGAAGACCCTGCAACACCCTTCTGTTTTGCAGTATGTGGGATCATGCAACACAACTCTCCTTACAGAGTTTTATCAATTAGGATCTGCAGATTTTATTGAGAATATCCTAAATTTGAACACATACAGCAAGTTTAACAATGTCCGGACAAGATTTAACATGGCTCTGAGTTACCTAGAAGCTATACATTTCCTACACAATAGTCCACTTGGCACACGAGTCATGTGCGACTCAAAGGGTCCCCGCAAAACTCTATCCCAGTTTCTTATCACACAGGATTTTAAACTTGTCTTAAGTGACCTGGATTGGATACCAGAAGTAAATCATGAAGCACACCATTTCATTAAGTGTAGACGAATAAGAACCAAGTCAAAATTTGTTGCCCCTGAGGAGCTGTGGCCCTTTGGAAATGAAACATATGATAACTCAAGAATGCCTTCTTATGATGAAAAAACTGATATTTGGAAAATCCCAGGTGTCGTTGACTACCTTCTGGGAAATGTAAATGGAAGTGATGTTGTCAGGTCACATTTGTTCAAAGTGCACCAACAGTGTCAAAATAGGGACCCCAGCCAACGACCAACTACAAAGGTATTGTTAGAGGAGTACAACAGGGTTAAGAATATGCTTTTTCCTGAACATATAACAAATAGCATAGTTAATTACAGTAGGCATTTCTGAGTTGTTGCATAAAGAGCAAAGTCTGTTTATTTAAAGCTAAAAGAGCTATTATTGTCATTCAAACCTGCCACTTTTAGCCATCCATCCGACTATAACAATCACCTGTTCCTGGTCCATTTCTTATTATAAGCACATTCCAGCATTTTAAAAGTGACCTGCCTGAGAAGGCCACCTGTGAAAGAAGACCACATTAATAGACAGCAAACAACATTTGTTAAAAGCACATTGAACATTAAGAAATGTTACAAAACAACAATGATGAAAAACCTACACCATATGAGGTCAGGTGTTGAGATGGGAACAGGTTTAGCCCTATCTAGACTGGGCTTTTGTTCTATCTTTGGGACTGGAGGGGGGGCGAATGAGCCCCCCCCCCCCCCCGTCAAAACTCAAACTCAAGAATGTTATGTCGTATGACTGCTAAATTTTTAGAGCAAGGTGTGTTAGTAATAATTAATAATATTAACAATTTTAAAATCATTATGACGTAATATGACGTCATTTTGACGTCATTTATGTGATTAATTTCCTAAAGATTAACCACACAAGATTACCAAAAGGTGTCAAAGAATTTCGTGTATTTCTTTATCTCCTATTGGCAGGTGCAGGGCTGTTACTTTTTATGTTTACCTTGTAGTTCGCAGAAGGAAAGCACATTTTTCTTTGCTCAGTTTATTTATCTTTTCCTCAAACAAATAAAGTCAATTACTTTGAATAGACGTCTGTCACCATGGTTACTGGTTCTGCGGCAGATACCATGTGGTGTTAGGTTACATTAGGTAACAAGGCAGAGTTGGAGGGACTGTTCACCATATACAATATAAGACTGCATTAAACAGACCTGTAGATCGGTAAACTAGAACATGGAAAGGTAGGTATTTGCTTTGCAAATGTTACCTTTCTAGTTTATTTACTTCTTCCACCTTAGAGACACCTTGGCCTACATCGACATAAGCTAATATAGACCAAAAAACAAGTACATAAATACAATAAAGTCATATGCAAAAATTGTAAATGAAGTAGACTAAGAAAAAAATTGCGGAAGATACAGAAATCAATAAAATTGAAAATATAAATACAACAAACAGTACAACATAATGTAACTAAACAAAAGTAGCAAATTACAAAAATCAAGTTGTCAAATCATGCAAGTCATCCAGAAATCGCTATATGTAACGCATTCTTAGGTCAGCCTTTGAATTAAGTTTGCCCCAGAGCCTATCACACCTCTACAACCAGTGACACTTGTTTCTCCTTATGGTAAGAAGAGGACCAAAGTTCGTTGTAGCATGAGCGTTAATCTTTCTTGAATTTGCTACATTACCTTATCATTTGCGGCTGCACAATGATTTAAAAGGTTCATAGTCAATTACCTTTAGTACAGATGCTAATTATTTTACCTCTGCGCTATACTATATGTATCATTATACATCTACATCGTTATATATCTTTTTATTTATTTATCTATCTATCGATATATTTCTATTTACCCACCTACCAGTTTAACATACAAAGCGCACCAAAATGTTACACACATACATACATGGCATTGTAGACGAAATAAATAAAATAGTTTTAACTATTTTATTTGACAGGTGGATCTTGGTTTAGGAAAACATAAAAGAAAACGGGCGAAGTGGTCAAACTATTTGATCAGCAGAAAGTTTTTTGATCTTCCTGTTTCTATGTTCTGTTTGAATCTTTATCTTTGTAATTACTAGTATTTGTGCCAAATCTCTTAGACCTTAGGTTACTTTGCAAATGCATGTACAAAAGCACCGACATTCCTTAGGTTACATCGTGTCAAAGCACACAGGATAGAATTGCTGCATGCCTCTGTTAACGGCTTTGTCTGCGGCATTGTTGACACTAAATAGCTGCTGCTGGCGTCAGGCCATGAGAACACGAATTCTTTCTTTTCAAGACGGCACAGTCATGGTATATGGACCAGGGACAACATAGCAGTTTCACAGCCGTGTTAGAGCAGATCAAGAGACTAGAGATAAAAAATATATGGCCTTTCATATGACTCACCCTAGATCTATGGGCAATTGGGAAAACTCGGGTGCCACAATGACAATTATGTGAAATTCAGACCATGGACTTTAACTAAGACACAGGAGAGATAATAAGTAAACAAGTTTGAACCGGTTGTGTCGGTGTAATTATACCAGTCGTCAGGCGACCTCGTCGGGTCATGGCCCCAGCAAAAAGCTGTAACTGCGCATGCCGTCTGTCTTCTTTGCAAACATGGCCGGGGTCGTCAGATGGATGACTGAGTCCCTCCTGGAGACTCTGCAGATTTCTGGACTGACTCTCGCAGTTCTTTTTTCGTCTTCTGTGTGGCCTTTTTCCTGGCGTGTTTTCTGTTGAAAAGCCGCAGAAACCTGCCTCCCTACCCGGCAGGACGTGTGCCTGTTCTCGGGCACATTCTCGCCTTGGGACGAGCGCCTTATCTCAAGCTGACGGCGTGGAGGCGGCAGTGCGGGGACGTCTTTACCGTCAGGATGGGGGTGGAAGACGTGGTGGTTCTGAACGGCTACACTGCCGTCAAGGACGCGCTCGTCGACAGGTCTGACCTGTTCGCCTCCAGGGCGCAAATTTACCTGGCTGATGCATTACTTGGTTTTGGAAAAGGTGAATTTCTTTTTACCATCTGCTATAATTTACTTCGCTTAAATCTTCTTTGCACTCCCATGTTACGAAACTACGACATTCTAAGGACGGTCGCGAATAGTTTGTTAGTCTCGTTACAGAAATGTTTACCATATTCCTGGTGTGCTGTCTGCAGCATTTATTTAAGTGTATTCAAGACTTGATATGCATGGTATTGGATTACATGTGAAAGCCATGTTGTTCCTGCAGACATAGTAACTGCCCGCTGGGGGGCGGAGTTTAAACAGAGAAAAAGGTTCGCCACCGCCGCTCTGAAGAACCTTGGCATGAAGGTCGGAACTGGCAGCATTGAGGAGAAAATCGCAGAGGAGGCAAGCTGTCTCCGCAACAGGGTAAGACAAAAGTAGGAATGAACCAAGCAATACAATTTCCTGGACTTTCTTTTTCGCTCGGAAAACATCTTAGCAATTTATTTGTGTTATAGTATTCCCATGGGCAACATGTCGATAGTTTTATTATCGAGTATTTTACATTCTGTTCTGAATGTTGTGTAGTTCCTAGTTACCATCGGCAGAAGGCCATATGTTTAGGTACACC